ATCTTAACGATATTATTTCGCACCGCTTTTTAATCAAAATAAAAAATATATATTGAAGGGCGAGGCAAGCGATTCGAACCGGAAGTTCAGTTTCAAGTTCCATTCCACAAGGATTATGTGAGAGTTTCCAGGAACAATGGGACACTATTAATTTATATATTGAGAAAAGTGGGAGGAGTACTAAAATCCCAATCCCAATTTTTAAATTGATCAGCCCCAAAAGTTCTTCATCGTCATAATCGATCCACGGAAAATATAGCGAAGAGCTTCAAACAAAAAACTAGGGAGAATTACCCAGAAAACCGACTGGATTTCTGAAATTAAAATAAAAGCATCACCGTCATAAAACAAACAGACGAAGAACCAGAAATCTATAGCCTTCTGGAAACAGAAACCGACTCTCTGATATTTAATAATACGAGTCGACAGTCGAGTGATGACATAATTAATATTTACAGAGCGGAGGATGAATTTTATTAATTTTTTTGTATTTTTTCCCGGGAGATCGAAATCGAAGGGTAGTGAAAATCAGGCGGATTCAACTGACTTGGGGGAAAGATCTGAAGAGTGGGAGGCGCCGGCGGCGGACTTGGAGTGCCTGGTCCACGGCAAGGAATTTGAACGGTGGAGCCGGCACCGGAACGAGCCTGGATGAGTAGTCGGCGAGCACAGGCATGGGCCTTTCGATGGACACGAGTGAGCCGCCGCGCCGCCGCCGTCGCCGTCGCTGCCGCTTTTGGCGGAGGATGGGATGCTGATGCTGATTTTGGCGTTGCCGGTGGCTGCCATTTTTGCAAAGCAATTGGGAATCGGGAGATGGGGCTTTATATAAACGGGTGCGGGTTTGTGAGTTTAGATCTGGAGCACTATGATGAAGCCACGTGGTCACTGCCACTTGCTTTCTCACTAGCCACTACTCTCACAATTATTTGAACCAAACTGCCAGATTATTGTTACTTGATATATTATTTAATTTCTTACATCTATGATCTATACTAAATTAATAATGTGTATTGTTGTACTTAAATAATAATAATAATAATAATAATAWTAWTATTATTATTATTATTATTATTATGTGTATATAGTTTTTTTCTTAAATATATGTGTATCTAGTTTTTTTAGTACAATAACGTGGAGCGGAGGATTTAACTCACGACCTCTTGATTCGAAATATATGTCAATTATTATTGAACTAGATTCGTTTTGACATATTTGTATATAATTTAACCTACATTATTAATGTTTCATGTGTCTGTTTCAAAAATAAAATTTTTAATGTTTTACCTGTAAAATTGCTGATCTAATAATACTTTAAGTTTTCTTTATTTAACTTAGCAATTTATTCTATTTTATTTTTTTCTCAATTTTGATTATTTTATTTTGGTCATTACGTTTGGATCGGTCAGATATTGGGGGTGCGTTTAATAGAAATCTAGTGTGGAACTGTGTGCGATTGTATTTATTTTATTATTATTATTTTTTCTTTTTTGAGCCAATGTGCGCTTGTATTTTAAATCACGTGGAATTTGACAAAAGGATAGGTTCATGATTATATAAAATGTAATATAGAAAATATAACTGTGACTAAAAAAAAGTTTTTAAAATTATAGTTAGTAAATTAGTTGATGTATTTGCAAATTTGTAAGGAAATAATTTGTAAATATGACAAATTTCTCCCAACTATGTCATTGATTAACCATTTTTATACGATCTATAACTACTTTCACTAATACCATTTTGCTATCATTTTTTTCTATCGAACCTCCAATCTCGAAAAAAAGAGTATATSTCAATTACTGCTGAACTATACTCATATTGGCTACTACTTTACATCTTTGATATAGTCTACCATTGATACACCTGTTATCAGGTAAAATCGAGATGTCATGTGTGTCGAAGGCATGTCCAACCATGTGGATCGAGTTAAGAGAAAGACCGTAAATGACCAAGCGCATCGACTGCATAGTCGAGTACAGTTGGACATCCCATATAGAGGACAACCAGCCGGCAAGGAGCTAACACCTTGTAYCCAAACAATGATATGCCTTAGAGGATTATTCAAGGTGCCGCCACATCTTCCATCCACGACACAGAGGGGAGAAAAGAATGTCAATAGTCTACACAGACCTTGAGGGTGGCATACCACTCCTGTCTCCACCTCATACGAGGAAAAACCTCTCTCCATATATAAGGAAAAATACAACCTTAATCCAGGTAAGCCGTCGTCTCGTATATAACTTCTTGCAATGATTCAACACATAGTATCAAGCAGACTCTCACTCTTGAGATTACTACATTTTCCTACTTTTTGCTCATATTTATTTGCTGCCAACTTGAATTCTCACTTAATTATCAGAGTGGGTTCAGTAGAGCACTACKTAAGCGCTTGATTTTTGTGAGCAGGTAACAAAAGATTAGAGACAAAGACGTAGGTAGTACATACGTGACACTTACATAGAGTGCGCCGAAAAAACATCAACATTATTGATGCACCATTTTATATTATTGATAATGTATATCACTAATATATCCAATGTAAAATACATAATTAATATACGGTTCTCATATTTGTGTTATTTTTGTAAAATATTTTATCAATTTTATAATTATTTGAGCTAAATCTACTATTATTCTAGAATGCCCATAAATTTTAAGAAAGTTGAAGATTTGAAATAAAATATTTAAATGTATAAGGGTTAAAGAAATAAAATAAATATAAAGACTAATATTTAAAATATTCATATATCATTGATGATGAGCTCCACTTTATAATATTATAAACTTTATTTTCAACTAAAGCAACTAGAATACGATATCATTAAATAAGTATTTAAAACCTTAACTTTAAAGAATCGGCTAACTTGGTTCATAGTACTTTGGAATCTATGAATCAGAAAATTAATTAGAAATTTTTTCTAAATTCAGCTGCTTGTCAAAGATATTTTAGACCATAAGTGTTAGGCGCAACAATTTCGTTTTTCATTTTTCATTTTTAAAAATTAAACTTCTACTTTTTTATAAAAATATTTGTTTAATTTAAGCCAAATTTTGAAAAAAAAAAAGTAGTTTTCAAGATTTTGTTATTATTTTTTAAAGTTTAGCTAAGAACTCAAATGTATTTAAAAAAAATGTGAAAAGCTTACAATAAAATTGGAAAAAAAWTTAAAAACAAAATAATCACCTCACGASGTTTTAATTAACCATTTTAATTTACTTAAATGAGGTTTCAAACAAGCTTTAARAGACGTCTAGATATCAAATTGTTGGACTAAGAGACTTTATTCCTTGGCTTGAGAAGTGTCTTTCAGATCTAACTTTGTTCTTTTTTCGGTTGATTTTGTCGTAAGAAAAAGGAACTTTTAAAATTTTTCAATCATTAAAAGAAAAATAAAAAAAAGGAAAGAAAAAGGAAAGATTGATGAAAAGATATATTGTTRTCCTCGATCTTGGTTGACAAAATTGGCAACCACTGATGATAAGTTCTATTTTTTTTCTAAACAGAACAAGTGAGGTTTGAGAGATCTAAACTCATGTTTTCTTGATCAAAGATGGGTAATAATTACCACTAAAGCAAGTTCATGATGGCTGATAAGATCTATCTAAAAGTGACTATACGATGTGACATTTAAAGTATAATGGTGGTGRTATGTAAAATACCAACATTATWCATGATTAAAAATTGATTTAATAACCACGTTAAGCTTAATTCAATATAAGTAACTTTTCATATCAACTGAAATATAGTTGATTGAATAAGATATCAATTACCTTGTTTGATTGTCAAAACGAGTATAGTTTAGTAGTAATTGACATATATCTCCAATCAAAAAGTTGTGAGTTGGATCATTCACCCCACAATGTTGTACTAAAAGAATTAAAAAAAAAATTATCTTGTTTGATTATCCATTCTATATTTTTCTACCAATCAAGATTTTTTAGTATCTACCCTTAAAAAGTAATTAAAAGAAATATTAAAATATATTATCTTAATCAGAACACGAGTTGTCTCAGTAGTATTATCTCTGGCAAATAAAATTCTATCTTATTGCACAATTCCTTTTAATATCATTGCACACATTTCCAATCGCATAATAAGAAAATAAAATAGTAATAGAAAGAATAAAAGATAGATATTTGAGAAATTAGAAATGAAAGAAAATATCCTAATTGCAATGATGATATGATGGGAACGGGAAGGATTATCCAATTAATGAAAATGGTAGGAAGACTTTTTCAAACACATTAAGGACTGCTTTATGTTTATGTCCCAAAAAAAAAAAAAAAACATTAAAGATAGAATTTATAAGATGTGGAAATGTGGTCCGAACTCATTCCATAGGATAAATCATTACAGGGAAAAAGTGGGGCCACTGCAACTTTTCAAATTTTCTTTCCCACCCTCCAACTATTTTAAATTCTTATTAACAACCCCAMCTTAGGTTCAGACTTTTTTTTATTATTGGCCCATGCAGGTCTCGAACCTGCGACCCTCGCGATATTAGCACGACGCTCTGAGCAACTGAGCTAATAGGCCATCCATTACATGCAATGCTTTGTAAAGTTTATTATTTTTACAACTGTTTTCTTTAGCACCACGTTTTTTTCCCTTTTTAAATTTCTAATGCTCCCTTCTTAGATATTTTTTATAACTTGAAAAAGATGTGGATATTTTTTCATTTTCATATATATCATCCAACCGGCAATATTCTTTTTTTTCTCCCTTTTTTCTTTTTGTTAAGATATTTTAAATAAATATGGAGAGAGAGAGTTTGTTAAGGGTGGATGCSAGATATCAAAGTATATAACATCATATATATATTTATTATATCTTTTGTTTTGTTATTTTCAGTCAAGACTTAGAGCATTATAAGGAGATGTTTTTTTTTTTCTTTCTGAGGAAATAAGGAGATGTTAGGAAACAAGGGTACAACGTTGTAATTTAATTTGTAAATTGGCAAAAATGTATCAATTTGATGCCTAATAAATTAGGTTGGGGTGCAGAAATTGAAGCTTCTTGTCCCTTGTCTGAATTCCAACAGGAGTCGTCCTTATGGAAATGGCCAAAATGGCTTCTTTGCGGTTTGCAGTGCAACTGCTTRCTGCAAGCTGAAGAGGAACAGTCTTTTTTGTTTGTTTTTACATTTTCTAAGCATCAATACATCGAAATCTGAATTCGAGGTCCCTCAAAAACAGCAAATTTTCTTTCTTTTCTTACTTTGTTTTTTGGATTCTTTTGTTCATCACTCTTCACAAATCACGTGAGTTCCTGCAAATATCACAACTTACAAGAAGAAACACAAGGGGAAAACGAAAAACCTCAGGTGAAATTTCTCTCCCTCATTTGACGAGATTATTAATCAAATGAGATTTGCTTATGAATTCTTTATAGTTTCTCAGAAGATAAGTTATGTAACTTTGCTTCTTTGGCGGCCAGAAATTCAAAAAACTTCCCATTAACAACACAAACTAGTGGAAAAGAACAAAATTTGCAAAAATCTAGATAACTTAACTAGGTGGGCTAGTACACAGGCGTGGCTTTGATGGCCGTGCAATTCTCAGGCCTGTGCTTTGAGAAACTTACTACTTTGTTCTTCCTTCACAGCCACATTCACGAGATACCCACCAAGGAAAGTTGACATTGACAACAAAGCTGTAAAGAAAAGAGCACTGACACTAATTCTAATTACATCACCATGAAGGTGAAGTACAGGGAGAACCGGAGGAGGAAGATGACAGACCATTGTTAGTGTTAGAATCACTCCCAGAAGTCCCCCGAGACCTGGCGTCTCTCAGTGTAACAGAACAAGCCTCCGCCGGAAGTTTCTTCATCGGTGTTAAAGGGGGCGTATTCGGGAGCGATCGGATGGTACTGGAAGGAGATGCCACAATCTCATCTTCCTCCGAAGAACCACATCTTTCCAATCCAGAGGGTGAGGAATTTGGTGTTTCAAATGGGGTGTCTCCTCTGCTTGGCCTGATTGCATCGTTGTCATAAATGGGGTTTGAAATGTACATAAAATGGTCACTGCCATTGGAAGAACTGTCGTTACAGGCACGGGTGGGGCTTAATTTACTCTGAGAACAAACTTTGGAAATGGACAGATCAGGGGAAGCTGAGATAAAGCGTGATGAAGGAGTGGAAATGAGGCCGATTCTATGAGGGCTAAAGGATGATTCTTGGGCGTCAATGTCGATAACTTGATGAAGTTGAGAGCTTTGGCTCTTGGCTTCAGCAACTTTGTTGTCTATAACACAAGGGACTATGGGAAAAAGAAAGTTTCTTGGAGCAGTAAGAACCCCATGAGCATACCAGCTGCTGAGAGAAGTGGCTGATCGATTGTTGTTCTTGGGAGGAGCTGAAGGCAGAGACTCGGAAATGTTTGCGGCAGTTGAGACGGGGTCGGGGGACGAGTTGGAGGTGGCGGCAGGCGGTGAAACTTGTAGCCTACGGCGACGGAGTAACAGAGAGCAGTAGAGCTCGGCAAGCAAGACAAGAATAAGGCCCAACACAATGGCAAGGCTCACCACCATTATCAGTGTAGCTCCCAGTATCACCTTAGAAGTTCCCTGCATCTCTCTCAATCTCTGAAGTCTGAACCAGTTGAAACTTGAAGGGAAGGGCGGTAAAAGTGAGGATGTACTAAAGGAGGGGGTTTTTTGTTTTTTGGCGGGAACTGGTCCTTCACATTTGATAACAAATAGAGAGAGAGGTCASAGGGAATCTTATGGTCTGGGGAGGGTAGGACTGACGAATGGGAAGGCTTTTATGTTCCGCATCTCAGACATTCGAGGTCAAAAAGGTCTTTTAACTGACACAGTTTTCCACCATGAAAAAACCTTGGCCGAAAAATGGTCAAATGTCAATGATACTAAATCATTAGAACAAAATGTCTGGAAGAATACAAAATTTGCGTCCCATAAGGTTACAACTCGACAGATACGATAGGAATATATGAGCATGAAAATGGGGAGTAAGATGTGATTTTTTGTTGTTTCTCTTGGATGAATCATGAGGTAAGCAGGAAAGCTAATGAATACAAGGAATGACACTAGCAGTCTCAACTCGGGAATGGGTCGATCTTACATTTGGCTATCAACATCTGTGTATCATTTGAAATTTTGGAATCGTACAATCGCTATTACAGGCTAACAGTATGAATAATTAAAAACCAATGACTGTCGATGGGAGATGTGACAAGATGCAGCCCCACAGACACACGACGCAAGGGCTTTACAATGAGAAATGGGTAAAAGTTCGTGTGAGAGGTAACCATAGAGAAGACAAACTTTGAATGGTGGTGCATTATGTTTACCTTCCTCTCAAGGCTGCAAATCGAGCAGCCAAATCATCATAGTCGGGCAACTTAGGATGAACATGTTTGGCTGCACTTGACCGATCTGGCTGAAAGGAAGCGGCTCGTGTAAATACTTTTGTTGCTTCTGATGGACCCAGTTGTTCATGAGGAAGGGAAACTGATCGTGCCGGTGGATGAACCGTATCTGCCTGCTTATCGGCCCCATCTCTGTTTAGATTCAAAGGGGATTCTGCAGCATGAGTACCAGTTTCAATAGCATGATGACTTTTAGGTTTCCTTCTCATCTTTCCTGGTTCAAAGGTTGAGGCTTTCTTACTGTAATGAATCAAAAGCTTGTCTATTATCCTTTCTTCTTCATCCCTTTCATTCTCCTCATCGTCAACCAACAGCTGCAAGCCATGTTTATCATCCCTTCTCCTACTACTTCTTGACTTCCTTCTCACCACTTGTTCATCCTCAGCATTGTTGACTGGATGACTGGACCGTGGCTTGTGGTGTTTTCTACGTACTGATCTTGGTTTTGGCAGATCATTAGGAGGTAATCTAGCACCAAAGACATGATCCATCTCACCATGACTATTTGGCCTCATAGGACTAGTAACCTGCCTCTCATGATCAGAGTGGCGTGGTTCTAATTGGATGACACCTGCAGTCGTTTCTGACCTGACATGCTTCTGAGGATCTGTGGAGACGCAATTGTTGTCGTGGCCTGTACGTGATGATTCCACATGGCCCCTATCCCTATGATCCTTCCTTCTAGAGTGGGCTTTTACATATGGAGGGAGGGAACTGTTGTAGCTGGGTTTCAAACCATGATGTTTATCATTCTCGGCTTTCCCCAGTAAGTCTACATATCCATTGTGCCCAGCATGAGTATTACCGGATGATGACTCTTTAATGTCCGTCTTTAACTGCAATCCTGCACCACTAGGAGGAGCAACACCTGGATTATTGTGAGGCGGAAACTTCAAGTAATCTGGAACTGCCCGTTTCCTGCCATTATGCATAGCTTGTCTATCATCTGCATCTCCCATTACTTCACTTGAAGACGAACTGCCCATTCTAACAGTTCTCGGGGAAGAACCCACTATCCCATTTCTAGCTTCATGCTTACTAACAGCGGAACCTTTCTTTTCTCCAAAATAATTTATGTGGCCATCGAATTTCAAGTAATCTGGAACTGTTGGTTCTCTCCCATTATGCACAACTGGTCGATTGTCTGCATCTTCCAATACTTCACTCGAAGAAGAACTGCCCATTCTACCAGTTCTGGGGGCAGAACCCACCATCCCATTACTAGCTTCATGCCTACCAATAGTTGAACCGTTCTTCTCTCCAAAATGATTCATATGGCCATCTGATTTCAAAATTGACTCTTCTTTGTTATGTACCCTCTTCTCGTGTCCATTTCCAGGTAGTTCCTGTCTAGGCTGAAACTTGAGTTCTTTTCCTCCTGATATGGTACTATCACTGGGATTGACGAATCTGGGCCTGCCATTTCCATGCTCAAAATTTTCTTTGAATGGTGTACCATCCTTCCCCACTCTTGGATCAAATTCCTTCGCATGGGAACGACCTTTTTCTACTGCAGCATTGGAAGACCCAAAATCTTTAGGTAGACCCTGCAGAAGCCAGAGACGGAAAGTTTAAATGTAGTGAAGACCTAAATATTTCCCAATAAAACTCGAAAATTATAATGTATGACAACTATACTGCGGAGGACCAAGGGCACCACTCAACTGTAAATTTTAGAAAGTTTGAGAACTGAAAATTTCAAGGGTTCAATCTTGTTTCTTGCAATGTTGGAAAGTAGTAACATATGGAGATGAGGTGCACCTGAGCATAGGCTGGGGGAGTAGACATTCTCTTCTCAAAACCCACTGAATCCCACTTAATTGAAAACTCCAATGCGATGTCTTGCAATAGCTGAACTTTCTTCTCCAATGTGAAAGGCTTGGAAGCTAAATTTTCAACAAACTACAAAAATTTAATTAGTGATTAGTCTCTCCATTATGAAAGATTTAGGAAGCTCAAAGTCAGTTGATTTGGTATTACCTTTTGGTTCTCCAAATGTTCCAAAGAAGTCCCAAATCTCTCCTGAAAAAGTTGCCTGAGCTCACGCAATTCTGGCAAATCAGAAAATCTTGCGGCAGCAAACATTAGAGATGCAATAGCCTCGCGACATTCCTCAGGGCATTCCCTGTAAAGATGATGAACAGAGGGAATCAGACAAATATAAATTCTCCAACATAAATTTAGAAACCAAATTTTTATATTATATAATATATCTCTCTTGACCAGAAACTATAAAAGCAACAACAGTAAGATAGCATGAAGTTATCTAAGTGCTTTTGAATGATAGAAAGGTATCCTCCAACTAATTAAAGATCTAACAAACTTTAACTTCAGAATTCAATCAAGACCAGACCTAATATCTACCGATTCCTTGTGTTCATCATGCATGCAAGACACCTCAAATTAACATTTAATAATTTATCATCATCCCAATCAATTAAGTGCAATAGATTTTTCTTTTCGATAGAAAAGCACAGAAGTTACGTGCAGCACAAAAAAATGATTTATATTATAATAATGTCTCCAGGACCAGAAAACTTAAGTGCAAAATGCAAGAGCCAGCTCTGGAAAAGAATACATCCATATCACAGTAAATTCAATCAAATTGTCTCCTCTTATTTCCCACTCCTGTTTTATTATTTCTTATCATTATTCTCATCTCGGGGGAGGGGGTGCCCACAGTAATAATGTCAAGTTTAAAACGTAGACGTTAGCACAACAAGAAAAATAGGTAAAGAGAAAAACAAATAAGCTATTCGTGCAGGAGTCTAATCACAGCACATAAGCATGATTCAGTACCTCTGCTTTTGCATAATTGGAAGATGTTTCAACACGGTATCACATGATTGCTCCACGAAATCATAACAGGACGAAATTGTCAATTCAACTAGAAGTCCCTCAGCCTGTTTTCCACCGCACAAGACAAAATAACAGTTTCTTTAAGCCTTACTAGGTAGATGCCACAATAGTTGTAATAATAATCAGAGGAAATACGGAGAGGGGAAGCCCGGGATGGGAGGAGAAAACTAAAATAGAAGCCATAGTAATCAACAAAGGGTCTAAAGCAAAGCCCAAAAATGGAATTGGGAATTGATAGAAATGGAGATGGCTTTCAGGAATAAATAAAACTTGGTTAACATCACAAAATAGCCTATTTCTTAAAAATTTTGGTCTTCATACAAATCTGTGCTTACAGCTTAGGAGCCTTGAAATATAATTCAATTTAACAAAGGCTATATAAGGCAAAGCCCAAAAACGGAATTGGGAATTGTTAGAAATAGAAATGGTTTTCACTTTTCAGTACTTACAGCCTACAAGCATTGAAATATTTTTCAAAGTAACCATCGAATCAGAAGAATGAAATAATTTTTCCAAGCAAAAATCGAAATGCATGAAAAAAAATTACCCTTCCATAAGCATTAATGTCGAGGCCATTTGCGAGTAGATCAGCAATATCTTTCTTCAGAAATTTCAGAGTTGCTTTCTTCTTCCTCCGAATCACATCGATCCGACTTTTGGTTAATTTAATCAGGGATTTGCTACAAACATTAGGAAAACAGAAAAGCACAAACATCCCACTCCGTTAAGCTCTCAAGCAATCAGGCAAAAAACGCAAGGAACCCAAAAATCAAAAAGAAAATTATTTGCAAGATAGATCGGATTACACACCATCTGGATGCAAAGCCCCGGCCGAGAATACCATCCAACATCTTTCGATCTTCACCTTCCTTCCACTCCTCAAGCGATAAATCTCAGCCCCCAAATAGCAGACGATTCATCACCAAAGCTCGAAGAGAGAGAGAGTGGAGTAAAATGGAAACTAAGAGAGGTGGGCGGAGGCGAGGAAGAAGACGAAGCTATCAACTCCACTGTGTCTTCCTAAAGCCACTCGAGTGAGCCGTTCACCTTTTTCAAAAACTTCTCCCCAATTTACAAAACTAACCTTATCTTTTACATAAAAAACGTACGTCCTCCCTAATCCGCATTTTAACGTTGGATGGGTATTTTAGGAATTCACACTCTCTCCTCGGACCTACCGTAAGAAACGGCGAGTGATGGTGAGAGCGAGAGATCGTGGCCGTTGGATGAGAGGACTTTTCTCGTGCGGTAGTGGGTATCATCTATGCTTCAAAAATGGGTTAAAAAAAACGTCCAACGTGCTACTGCTGAGCTGGATCGCAGGGGCTTCCAGGTAATTTTCATTCTTTGGATTACGACAAGAGCCGTAACAGAAGTTGGATTTTGCGCTTGCGTTAGGTGAGCCTGAGCCACCGCATAATGTAACCGCCGTGATAACGGTAATTCATTGACTATATGTCAGCTGGACGCACAGTTGCTGCTTTTTGACGTCGTTCGGAAAAACACAAGACTCCAGCTGTTAATTGAATTAAATTCCATTGTTATTCTTATTTACACGTTTGCCTCAAATAAATGGCTTTTATTTTTTTTATTAATGAGTCATATTGATACCTTCCCAAATGAAAGTATCAAATTTTTTTTTTTTTGCAATATTTTCAATTCTTTTAAATTTTAATTTCATAAGATCAAATTGCATGTTAGTTTGTTTGTTATTTTAAAAGACATTATTATTAATTAGATAGCAACATCAAATCATTCATGGATTGATTGAATGAATGGTAGACATAAAAGAAGATTAAATAATTTTGAGATGAATGCTATTAGCCAATATTTCAAAAGTATTATTAGTTTTCTCATCCTATATTATCAAAAATATTAAAATATTGTTGACCTATTTTTTAAAAAATTGAGATTTATATAAAAATCCTAAATGGAAACAAGTTTATTTGAGATTGTCTCTCCCCTCATTTGGTATCTTGTTTTTACATAATTATAACCTATGTAATAATGTGTCTCCTTTAAAATATTTACTAATTAGCTCTAGATAATTGTTACGAGGAAAATTATATGGAAACACGGATTACTCCCAATAGTACATACAAGCGTAAATTGTGAAATAAAAGTCATAGTCGTACAAAGCAGCGCTCAGCTTGATTCTTACCATGTGAATCTATTGAATATCTGATAAATAAAATTTATCTACATTGTGATCAAATGAATTATACTTTAAATCTTACTCGGATTCATGTACAAATGGAGATTGGGTTGATACATCATAAAAAACTATTTCAACAGCTCACGCTTAAACAATAATAATGTAAAACAAAAATATGATATGGAGATTTCCAAAATATTCTTCTAATGGCAAAAATATTTAACGGTTTTATGAAGAAGTTGATAAATTGGAGCAAAACTTTGATGGGATTGTTTCAACTCCGAAAAAGAAAATTCATCAGTTAATATGGGAGCACGTGGCAAAAGTAAATGACTTTGAGTTTCAAAATATTAAATATTTGAACTACCCTAGTCTTAGGTACATAAAATTAAAAAATAAATAAAATTATGCACCATCCATTAAATTCTCTAGTGGAAGAATTTTCAAAAAGCACTACTTTACACTTCAGT